TATATATATATATATATATATATATATAAGTTGTTAGTAAAAGTGGTATTGAATTCAATTTCTTACATAAGGTCTTATAGGTTCAAGTATTGTGTATGCAAAAAGCGTGATTGGAAGAGGAAAGCCCTATTAAAAGTGGTCAATCATATTCTTTGACGAAGATTAGCTATTGATAAAATTGATAAATACTTCATATCAATATTATGATTAAAAAAATTACATATCTTTAAAAAAACGTAAATACATACACCCATATATATATATATACTATGTATGGACATCACAACAACAATCTATTCATTGTCCTCATCGACGACATCGACGTTGGTGGTGGCAATGGAAGGAGTGTTGATGTGTTGGAAGTGATGGAGATAACAATAACAACGATAATGAAAATTATGTTAGTAACAATACATGATAAAATGTAAAGAACAACTAAAAAAAGTCCTTCAAAGATAATAAGAATTAGGTAGTATAGGTTAAATATTTTATCCCTACTCCTATTTCTATAAAGGAGTTAAAATAACAATTTCTCATTCTTATTTTTCATATTTTGTTTTCAACATACATCAAATGAAGAATGCATTGTCATTTTAACTCCTTTAAGTTATAGAAATAGGAGTAGAGATAAGATACCTAACCTACTACCTAATTCTTATTTTCTTTGAAGGACTTTTTTTAGTTGCTCTTTACATTTTATCATTTTTATGTATCAATAAATGAAAGTGACCCTTTCAATCTTCTAATTTAGGTGGGAACCTTTTTGGAATTTTCTCTTCATGCCATGCCAAAATTCTGGTTGTAAATCCACGAATGGCATGCATATTTTCCTTGGCTTTTAGTGGCAGTGCATGTGACAATCAAGGACTGTTTGGTTTAATGTTTTCTATTTTCATTTTTTTATAAAACCAGAAAATAAAAAAAATATATATTTTCTCTCCAGTCTATCTGTAAGAAGTATAGCAATAAGTAGGAAGTAGAGACTATGATGTTCCGATGCTGTTGAGCCAGTAGGACAGAAAGAAGAGGTTGATGCAGAGGCATTCCTAAGATGATAAGAGCAATTCCAATGAGAGTTTCTTGTTCCATGAAGCAACTCAAGCCTCGGTTTCTTAACATTGGAGGACTCTGACGTGACAACATGACTTGCTTGAAGAAGAGGAGAGTTGCTTCCTGTTGGTTTTCTGAGCAAGCGCACCCAAGTCTAAAAGGTTGTCGATCCTCAGGGACTTGTGAAGTAGATTTTTATTTCTATTACACTAATTGTTACTTGTGATTTCAAAGTTTGATTATTCACACGTGTTAAATATTAGATATGAGCAGTGAAATAAACTTAACTAACCCAAGTCAAATCAAATTTAAGAAAACAGATGTGATAAACAGTTGGGATTAAATTCATCAATCTCCCTCCTATGTATTCCTAATGATTCTAGCAAATGATTTCATTACTCATTGCCATTGAGTTCTCTATTTTCATTCAAACCCAATCCCTTGGCATAAGAAATTCTAAGATATTTAACTCAATGAATGATTCCTCACTTCATTCAGTTAAATATCCCGCATTAAGAATCAGAACTTGTTGCAACTATTAATTTCAAGACCATCCCTGGCTCTCAAAACTAATAGGTGATTTGTTTCAAGTCTAGATTCAGAAAACGTTTTCCAACCAAATTCTAAATCCAAAATCAAAGATAAATGATCAGTTCATCAAAGCATTAAGAACAAAAACAAATCACTGACATTGAGTAATAGATGAGATATATATATATGAATCAAAGAGGAATACAAAGGAGTTCGACGATTACATCAATCCCAACCCTTGAGCTTTAGCTCTCCATAAAATAAGAAATCACAAAAGAGTAAGAAGAAAGGTAGAAGAAAGAGATCTTCCTAGGAACCGCGTTCCCACAAGCTCCAAGGTGCTCTGTTTTCTTTTCCCGTCTCTGTTCTTCTCTTCGTGCAACTTCCAATCATGTTTTTCTCTCTCCTCTGCCCTTTTATAAGTGCTGGAATTAAAATAGAGTAGGCAGGTAAGAGAAGAATCCGCTCAGCGCCTTGAAACGGCTGAGCGGTTTGAAGAATTCTTCACCATGAAGTAATCTGAAGGGCTGAGCCCGTTCAAATCCGTTGAGCGCCTGAAAGATTCTTCACTGTTAAGCAAGCACAAGGGGCTGGGCGCTTTATATCCGCTGAGCGCCTAGGAGGCAGAGAGCACTCCTTCTTCCAGGGCTAAAACCGCTCAGTGCCTTAGAGTGGTTGAGCGCCTCTCCTTTGTTGCATTTGTTGAGCTCTCTGGCTTGAAAGCGCTCAGCCGTTTTGAAGGACTAGCCATTTTTCTCCAGACTTCAACACCTACAAAACAAACACAAAATTTGATGAAAAGACTCATCACTCCCTATAATAATGTAAATTAAGAGTCCCTCTTTGATTCTAAGTATATATAGACCAAAATTATATCAATATGTACAAAAATTGTGCTAGATAAGTGTCTCAAATTTAGATTTCATCAGACTAGTTAGACACTTATCACTTCCTCAAGCAACCGTTCCTTACCAGATTTCAAGCAGATCTTATTGAACATATTAGGGAACGTTTCAGAAATAATAATGATGAAAATTAATTTCATATAATATTTATGTATTTACTATTATTTTATTTTATTTTTAATATTTACTTATTGTGTATTTTTTTCTCGTAATTTATTTTCTTTCATTGTAGTGCAATTATCCTTTTTAATAAAAATTTAAATTTAGTTCATAAATGATTAGAAAAAAAATTCTAAAAGTTGAATTTTTTAAAGTTTCTTACCATTGGAGTAAATTTGTATTTAAGTTATTTAATGCTGACATGGCACACTAAAAACTACTTTTTTCATTTTTCAGTGCATGAAGCAACTCACTTGAATTGTTTCCATTGGAGATGCCCTAATATTATTTCATAAGAAAATGATAATAAAAGTTTTGTGAGATGCCACGTAAGGCGATAAGGGTGTAATATGTATCAGCCAATTAAGGGAGTTTTCTGCAGGTATAAAAGTGTCTGGGGTATTGAGTGTAATTGAACCTAAATTCAGGGGGATCCAAGTGTAATTATTTATTGCGAAAGCTAAGTATCATAAAATATGTGAATGATTGCTCTAAAATTTAATAAATCCCACAAGTTTTGTAAATTTTAAAGCCATATTATTTTGATTGGGAGTTTTCTAAAACTGAATGTTTGTCACTTGATGCATCATTCTACAACTAATTTGCATATAGAAATATATATCTGTCTTCTAGCTTTTGCCTTTTGGTAAGAGATACTAACATCCTTGTCCATTTTGGATTGATGTTACATTCATCAGATACATCATCAAATTATCTTGTAATCACTAATCAGGAGATTATTAATACATCATCCTTGTCCATTTTGGCTAATCGATTCCATATTCTATATATTATCAGAGTAACAAGAAAAATTTCTAAGTAAAACTGAAAACCTTGATCTAAGTTTGTTTCTTCCATGGATCTCCAATCCCTCTACTTCACATCCGTATCCATTTTAATTTTTGTGTTTATGGCACACAAAATAATGACAAAGAAATCTGCCTCAGATCCAAATTTACCACCTGGGCCATGGAAGCTACCTATCATAGGGAACATACACAACCTTGTTTGCTCTCTTCCCCATCGTAGGCTGAGAGATTTATCAGCAAAATATGGACCCTTGATGCATCTGAAGCTTGGAGAGGTTTCTACTATTGTGGTTTCATCCCCAGAGTATGCTAAAGAGGTGCTGAAAACCCATGATCTTATCTTTGCATCAAGGCCTCCAATACTAGCTTCAAAGATAATGTCTTATGATTCCATGGGCATCTCTTTTGCACCTTATGGAGATTATTGGAGACAGATGAGGAAGATTTGTACATTGGAGCTATTAAGCTCAAAACGTGTCCAATCTTTCCAACCAATCAGAGACGAAGAACATACTAACTTGATCAAAAGGATTGCTTCAAAAGAAGGGTCAGCTACAAATCTCACCAAAGTAGTGGTTACAACACTATCTATGATCATTTCAAGGACAGCCTTTGGCAACAAGTGTAGGGACCATCAGAAATTCATATCAGCAGTAAAGGAAGCCACAGAGGTTGCTGGCCGCTTTGACTTGGGAGATTTGTACCCTTCTCCTGAATGGCTTCAGAACATCTCAGGATTGAAGCCTAAGCTTGAGAAAACTCATCAACAAACCGATCGAATTATGCAAAACATCATCAATGAACATAGAGAAGCCAAGTCAAGTGCAACAGAAGGCCAGGGTGAAGAAGTGGAGGATGATCTTGTAGATGTGCTCTTGAAGGAGGAGTTTGGCTTAAGTGATGATAGTATCAAGGCTGTGATTTTGGTAAGTGTATTTACATCTTCCATCAATGTTATTTGCATGGTAGAAAGTGATGAACTATTCGCATAACAATAACATCTTACCTATGGTTAACCAATAGCTGGTGATTTCCTTACTTTTTATTAACTTGCTGTTGTGTACTGATAACTTCTGAAGTGTGTTAAATTAGAAAATTTAACAACACATGCATGAAGTCATTGAGAAGCAAGACTAAGTTGCTACTCGACACTGTTTTTACAATTCCAAATAAGAATAGGTTATTTAGTCACAAACACTATGCATCAATTTAAAATTGGCACCGAACTAGAAAAGCTGAAATATATTGTCAACCCCAAAAGCACATAGTTTTGTACAATGATGTTGCATAATACAATCTTTACACCTCTATTTTACAATAAAGTTCTGTTTAGATTTTTTTTTTTCTAAAAACACTTATACAAGAAAAAATGAAAAGGAAAAATGATATAGGATTTTTTATAAATAAAAATTGGCTTATACATGAATTAAAAACAAGTTTTTAAAGAAGCTAATATGAGAACTATTTTACAAATTAACTTATACATAACCTAGTTTTATCTTTGAAAAAGTATATTTCATTTTTTCTTACTATTTTCTTACACATAAATGTTTTTTTTTAGAAGTTTGTCTAAACAAGTTCTAGCAGCTACGTTTTCTAGTTGTAATGGACTAATTCATTGTACTTATTGGTGAATTCTGCTATTATTTGGGTTTGATTTAATTTTCTTGCATATTCTTCCATTAAAAACTTGCAATGAATATTGATATTCCTTCGGATGTTTCCTAACAAATTGAGATGAACATCTTGATGTCATAATTTTGAAGGATGTCTATGGAGGTGGAACCGAGACTTCATCTACAACCATAATATGGGCAATGGCAGAGATTATAAAAAATCCAAGAGTGATGAAGAAGGTACAAGCTGAGGTAAGAGAGGTATTTGGTAAAGAAGGACATGCCCATGAAGGTGACATGGAGAATCTAAAATACTTGAAATGTGTTGTGAAAGAGACATTGAGATTACACCCTCCTGGTCCCCTTCTACTTCCAAGACATAGTGGACAAGCTTGTGAGATCAAAGGGTATCACATTCCTGTGAAGAGCAAGGTCATAGTGAATGCCTGGGCAATTGGAAGAGACCCAAATCATTGGAGTGAGGCAGAGAGGTTCTATCCTGAGAGGTTCACCGAAAGCTCTATTGACTTCAAAGGCAATAGCTTTGAGTACATTCCATTTGGTGCCGGAAGAAGAATATGCCCTGGCATCACATTTGGCTTGACCAATGTTGAGTTTCCACTTGCATTGTTAATGTATCATTTTGATTGGAAACTACCCAATGGAAAGAAGAATGAAGACTTGGACATGACTGAAACTTTTGGAGTATCAGTTTCTTTAAAAGATGATTTATACCTCATTCCTATCACTTTCCATCCTTAGGAAAGAAAAAAAGTATAGATCCGAGAATAAAGAAACTTGATATTTGTAAGTGAGGTTTGTTCAGCCTTTTTCAAACTAAATAATGCGAAGAAAAGTATGTATTTGTGTGCAGTCCATGATTAAGATAAATTCTTGAAAATAAATTAAAAGAACACTAATAAATAAAATAATTAAATTTATCAAGAAAGTCAATATCAGCATTATAATAAATATTTCAAAATTAAAAACAAAATAATCAATAACATTTAATTAAACACAAAAAATAAATTAAATTTATTTATAATATAAAAATTGAGATATTTTTATTAATACATTATTTTAAAATAAACTTTAGTCATTTTTAGTAAAAATGTTGATATATTTTTCTATGAACTTTTTCTCTTTTTAATATATCTAAATCTAGGGGAACCTAAGGCTGATTGACCAAATTGGGGCACTTCCCCAAATTATTTACGTACACCAGTGACACGTGGAATTTTTTAAGTTCAGGAAAGCCATGAAAGTCATATTTACGGTGTCGCTACAGCCCATGACGACAAAAAACGGCTTTAATGAAGTCGTTATAGCCTACAGCGTTAAAATATTTAGAAAAAATATAAGTAAATAGTTTTAAAAAAAATGAATTTGTAAAAGTGGCGCTATGGCCTATAGCGACACAATGTCACTATAGACCATAGCGCCACTTATTTAAATATTAAAATACATAAATTTAAAAATA